GGTCAGTGTGTCTGCAGGGTGTCCAGTCCCGTGAGGATGAGCCCCCCCCCCCCTTCAATTCAATAGGAGCATGACTTATGTTTGTGTGGATCAGAACAGTATCTCTGCAAACCCAAGAACATTAACATTTTGCCTTCCTCCTCCAGAAGTCACTGAGGGTGATGTCCAGGCAGTACTAATTGATTGCAGCAGTGTCGTATTTGTGGATGTGGCTGGGGCCCGCCTCTTCATTCAGGTAAGGAGGAGAGCTATCCAAACCCAGCACAAATAAATTAAATATCCTCGACAAATTACCAGCCTATTTAACGGTACTGAATTATTTTATATTGTTCCCTATTTATATTACACAAAATCCAGAAAATGTCATGTGTGCAGCTCCCAGAGTGAAGTCATCAGGATTTAAGCTTTAAACCAACAAAAAAATAGAGGAGTCCATTAAAGGAAATGATCTTGTTTAAGCACCCCAGTTTCAATAATCTTGTTTAGACTCTATCTTGGGAATAACTGCACTAATACCGTTCTCTTTTCCCAGATGTGCATTGAATGCCAGAAGGCAGGAGTTCGGATATACCTGGCAACTTGCAATGGTAACTTCAGAAGAATAATTCTTTAATGAATATTTTAAGAGTAATGTATTTAATATAAAAAGGCTTCTTTTGCACAATCAGCTGAGGGCCACTGGGGTGGCGCTGGGATAGGTTGGCTGGGGTCCGAGTGCAGAAGTAACTCCTGCGACTTGCAGTGATGTCATCTAACAATGTGCTACCCGGCCAGTCAGAGCTACCTCGGCTGCCAGGCTCTGCGGAACTCACATCTCTTACACACCCACCTGTTTCATTTATCTGCCAAGCTGGTTAATAATTGGAAAGTTATATATGCACATCCATCCAAGCCTCTAACTCCTTCCAATTCAGGGTCACAGGGGAGCCAGAGCCTATCCTAGCAAGCCATGGGCATAAGGCAGTGTACACCCTGGATGGGACACCAGTCCATCACAGGGCAGACACACACACTCTCACCAGGGCTCATTTTCCCACAAGCCAATTAACCTACCAGCATGTCTTTAGGCTGTGGAAGGAAACCCACATGGACATGTGGAGAACATATAAACTCCACACAGACAGGACCCCAGGTCCAGAATTGAACCCAGATTTCCCAGCACTGCACATCTGCAATGCTAACCATTGCACTACCCATAAGGTTATATAGTCCAAAAAAATCAATGATTCCAAAGTGCAAAGGAACAAATAAAAGGTTTATTCCATGCTGAAAAGAGAGGAAAGAAAACACGTTTCAGTTTCACACCTGAAGAAGGCTCCATAGCCGAAAAGTTGTGTTTTCTTTCCTCTCTTTTCAGCATGGAATAAACCTTTACTTGTTCCTTTGCAAAAAATAAATATACTTTACCCTTTTAACAACAGATGCCACACAGCTGGGGGCCATTGTGCTGCGGTAGGGTGGGCTGTATGTAGCGCGCTAGCTGACATGCCTTGTCCCCTGTCCCCTGTCCCCTGCCACAGAGAGCGTGCTGAAAATCCTGACCGCCAGCGGGCTGATGAGCTACATGAACCCCCAGCACATTTTTGTGACTGTCCATGACGCAGTGGTCTACATTCAGCAGCAGAAGGTATTGAGCTCAGACCAGCGCCGGGTCACAACAGCCCAGCTTTCGGTTCTGTCTCTCTGTCATCACTTCGGTTTTGGGTTAGGTTGGGGACTGAGGACGTTCAGATTCAGATATTACAGGATTGTCAGGTTTGAGATGGGGGGGGCGGGGGTCTTTAGATGTAGATTTCCCAAACTGGACTAGACAAGCCATTATAATAGTTTCCACAGTTTAACAGGTGTGCCCAGAGTGAGAGACCATACTGCCAGGACAAAGTAAATGTGTGGTACAATCCTGGTAAAATAGGAAAACTGCAACAAACTTCATGCCAGTTTGCCATGGTCAATAGACACAAGGTGTTTGAGTTACATGTCCCAGAGCCCAGAGCTGTGTTAACATGCACAGGCCAGACTCTCAGAGGCTTGGCTCGCTGGCTCAATACACACACAGGAGAAAGTGGGTTTCCCGGTCATTTAGCCCCTTTTAAATTAACTCCACACTTCTTCTCTTTGGAATTGACAGGAAAAGCCCCCTGAGAAGACCACCACAGTCTGGGTTTGAGTGGTTCTTGACCAGGAGTCCAGAAGCTACAACAATCAGGAACATGGGGATCGTAAACAGTGTACAGGCAGGGACGAACAGATCCCACACAGAAAGACAAAAAAGAAAAAAGAGAGAAAGAGAGGGGTGCTTGCCCCGATAGCCACAATAGGCTTTCTCTGTGTGTTTCTGTATAGCCTTCGTGCTTGCGAGCATGTAGCTGTGTGTCAGAGCTAGAAAGGTCTGTCCCAGAGAAGGAGGTCTTGCCCTGCCCCTCTTGAACATCATTAAAAGCTCTGCTGCGGCGTTGTCTCTGTGACCCGAGAATCTGCTCAAGTTCCCGTCTTGCTCCTCACCTGAGCAGCAGCTTTTGCTGAAGAAATTCAGCTACATTCTGTAAATGTGGAGCACATCTGCAGGACTAATATTCTCCTGGATCAGCAGATCAGGTCACCTTTAACAAGCACTCCATCTGATGGGTGTCATTGATCACTTTGAAATAAAATCTAATGTATGTTCACGTACGGAAATAAAAAAACAATTAGAAATCCTCCCAGCACCCACCCAAACGGTTACTGTGCTTCTGAGAGCGGTGTGTCCATCTTGAACAGAGTGTGATACTTATTCCACAAGGATCTGAGGTTTCTGCAGCCCAATCCCATCCCATACCTGCAGCAGGACAGCCCTCAGCTGGGGTCGTGAGGAGGGAGGTGGTGTGTGGGGACTGAACTGGACAGGTCCATTGGTTCAACTGGGACTCATTCTGGCCTGGAAGATGATAGGGAGCCTGTCTATGTCTCCTCCAACTTGACCCAACACACACACACTGCCCCCTGCTGGGAGGGTCTGGTCCTTAGACTGGAAGACTATAATGTTTTGTCCAGTGAGTGTATATTCATGTATATACATATACAAAATGAAAATACTAGACATTGTTCCTAATAAACAACAAAGGAATTATATGGCCCAAGATATTTGGAGTGTTTGTGTTTTAATCAGGATCAGAGTGTTCAAGCAGCATGAAGCCTGGAAAACGGAGAAATAGAGTAAATTGGTAGCCTGTGTAAAATTTTCTGTTACTCTTTTATCACGGTAAATGTTAATAATAAGATTGTTAATGGAGCTATCCACCTGAAATTGCACTGAATGTCACTGGTGATGTTCCGTCAACGGTATGAATATTGCCATTACTTGTACTGTATTTTAAATGGAATATTTTGCTATATTCTTTCTCAATAAATGTGCCTTTTTAAGAATTTTTTGGGATATATCAGGGTAATTCAGCAAACAGAAAATTGTCCCTGGTGTGTGTTTTTGTCTGTGTGCCCTGTGATGGACTGGCATACCGTCAAGGACGTGCCTTGGGGCAGCTGCCTGCTGAGACAGGCTCCAGCTCCAGCTGTATTTGATAAAGCCCTTAGAAAATGGATGGATGAACAGAGGTGTTTTCAGGATTCCGCATGTCAGCCATGATTCTGATCTGTAACGGTCTTAGAACTGCTCTGATGGGTCAGGGGCAATTTCAGCTACATTTTTACCACATTTCACCCTGGCAGATATTGTATAATACAGGCCTGACTGGTGACATGACTCAGAACACTGCTTAGCTGATGTCTGAAAAGCAATAATGTATTAAGGGGGGTGAATGATGGGAAATCGCTTGAATTCACATGTGCCTCAACATCAGGCCGGGGGGGGTGCAGGGGCTCTGTGGCTCAGGATCTGCGCCTGGGGCTGGAAGGTTGCCGGTTCGTTTCCCACAGCCGGCAGAGGAATCCTACTCCATTGGGCCCCTGCGCAAGGCCCTTAACCCCAGCTGCTCCTGGGGCGCCGTATAAATGGCTGACCCTGCGCTCTGACCCCCAGCTTCTCTCCCTGTCTGTGTGTCTGTGTGTCTGTGCGTCTCAGGGAGAGCAAGCTGGGGTCTGCGAAAAGACAAATTCCTAATACAAGAAATTGTATATGGCTCATAAAGATCTCATCTTATCTGAGCCTCCCTGACCAGAACTTGTTCAAACAATATTACAGGAGCCTGCCTTCAAGGGGTTCCCCCAAAACTCCTCTTACTAGTGGTGGGGCTCTGGGCCCCAATCTGTGACCGAGCTGCGCGTGATGTCCTGCCCCGTGAAGGGAGCTTTTCTGCACCTTAGCCCCGGGCACAGGACAGGGAGCCCCGCCAGTCCTGTCAGTCCACCCTTCACCTGGATCCTGACTCTCCACGGCACACTTACACCTCCGACAGACACGGGCGGGAGTCTAGCACAACCGCAACTTTTATTACCGCCAAAGAACGGCTTTTATACAAACAAGTCAAACCAAAGCATTACAGCCCAGAAATGTATCGGGGTTTTTTAAAATGCAGGTTTGTACAAACACTGCAAAGGTTTCTGTCTTTACAAGAACTGTAAGATCTGTAAGGTGACTCTGTTCAGAACCTCAGTGCATCCTTTAGAAAAAAAACCAACATAGAACAGGTCAGAAAAACAAGATGGAAATAAAGAAATGGTGATCACACACATTCTGGTGGAACAGTGGCTCAAATTCAGGACAGATCAATGGAATTAAATATATAGGAAAGTGCAGTTCTTTCTTGATGAGAAGGAAAAAAACATGCTTTTACAGCCCATTCAGTGAAGATTCCCACTTTCTCAAGCAAAATGAAATAAATATGTTATCCCAACGGACTTGTCGGGGAATCCAAGCACGGTCCTCGAAACTGACCACACCCCCACTTCAGGGCCACTTTGCCCCGGTTTGGGTGTGGCTGCGGCCAAGAGCTTTCCTTATGGCACAGCGGTAAAACTGGGCACTGGGCACTGGGCAGTGGGCAGTGGGCAGTGGGCAGCAGTCTCCTGCCCTACTCTTGGACATTGCTTTTCCTCACTGTCGGATATTGTCCCGAAAAAGTACATCTGATTCACTGGATCATCCGGAGCAGGGAGGAGGCATCCCCGTCTGCAAAGCCCGCATGGCCTCTTCATTAATTACTTAATGGAGATCATTAATTGGATCAGCCCGACAGGAGTCCCTGCCTCAATCATCTGCCGATTGAAACCTGCGGGACTCCGGCCCTCAAGAACTAGAACTGCACATAGCAGCTCCTGAAGTACAACACACTGAAGGCTTTCCATTGGTTTACTGTACTGTTCATACCAACATAAGACCATTCCCTGTGCAGTAATATTCACAATAAGTGACCTTGGACTCAAAGTCCCATAAAAGTGGTGTAAAACAATATGCATGTCAAATGATCTACAATTTCCACCTTCCAGATCATGTCTGTGTTAAATGTGTCTGTTAAGGGTAGGGAATTTGGAGAACACATCCTTCCATTACTGTGATCTTGCCCCAGGAGGCTGCAGTGCAAATGTTTCACAATTGTTTTTTTGGTTTTTCCAAGTTTGATCCACCTAGTTTGGAATTGAAAATTCTCAACACAGAACAAAAACAAAACGTCAGCACTGAAGAGAAGGCCATTCATCGCCGCTAGCCTGTTCAGTAGTTCCCATATAACTGGTCCCAGGATCTCATCCTGCTGTTTCTTGAAGGAAGCCGGAGTACTGACTTCAACCACATGGTTCGGCGGCTGTTAAAGACCCCTGCAGGACATGCCCACCTTCCAGAGCCGTTCCTCTGCTGAAGCCCCTATGAGCTCCATGGTGCCCAACAGGAGCGTGATGGTGCGCAGTGATGTCACTGCAAGCCGCAAAGTCATAGAAGTGGACACGCTCCTCCTGCAGGTTCCCATGATGTTTATTAGTCCAGCTACTGACAAAGTCCCTCCTCCTACACTTCAAGGCTTTGACCCTGGATCGGGGGGGGGTTACACTTGACACTGAGGATGATCTAGTTCTTTGCTGAGGACAGTCTCGTCCTTACTCGTCTGGCTGCTGTTAGGCAGTTTTGGGATGAATCCTCCCTTCGTGAAGGAAGTGTGAATTCGCGAAACATTCGATAAGGCGGCCTACTTCAGTCGTGGGCAGATCTCTAGCCTTCCTAGAGCCAGCGCGTGCTGGATTTTAATTTCCTTACTGTTCAATTATTTCAATTAAATATAAATTAAATATTCTGAGAGGTTTGGGGTCTTCTGAGCTCAGAAGCTCCACAGTCTCTGCTGGCAGGTGGAAGACGGAGTTACCATGGTAACCAGATGTTTCTGCCACACACGCCGTCTTTTCCTTTCTGGCGTCGCCCTCTAGTGTTGACGTACAGAACTGCGACCAAGAGGTTTTAAAGCCGAGCAAACACGTACTGTACCAAGCACAGATGGACATATGGAGAACTTTTCCACGTGTACAAAAATTAACACTAACAAGCTTATCAAAAAGAACGGAAAAACGGTCAAATCACTAGTTTTCCGTGTGAACAGAAGGTGGACACCGTGAGATGATTGTGCATTTTTTATATTCAAAAGAAGACCTCAAAGGCTTCCATTTTAGTATAAAAAATCATTGACACCTGAAGGCCCCACAGCCGAAACGTTGTATCTCTTTTTTTCAGCGTGGAATAAACCTTTCCTTGTTCCTTTGCACATTAAAGACCTTCCTTGGTGCTGGCGGAGCTCCACACGCAGGACAGTGGTCTCAGTGGAGTCACGAGTCGGGGGGGAGCGGAGGGGGACAGGATTCCAGGGAAACTTCAAAATGATCCCGCTCTTCCAGTATTACTCCACCGCACCCACCCACTGGCGGTCGTCCACGCGCGGGGGAAAGCCGGAACAACATTTGTGGGTAAAACCCGTGTCCCTTTCCTCTCGGCTAGTGTTGGGAGTCTGGGGCGGCGGGGAGGTGGGGTTGGTTTTCTGTTTCCACGCCGCAGGGAAGAGCAGGGGTCTGCAACCCACATCAGTCCCCGGCTTCCCGCGGGTAACAAGGGGCTGCTGTTCTCTTCACGCCCGGAGTCATGAAGGCGAGCCCTGCGTCTTGAGAATACAATCCCGCCGGGGTCTCGCACTCCGTCTTCGTACCCGCTAGTGATTAATAGATCCGCCACGCTGCGTTAATACAGCGTTTCCAGCCTCGCCGTTCGGGAGGCCGAAATCCTGGAATCGGAAAACAAAAACAAAAAAGGACGGAAAATCCCGGGGATTGGAAATCGTTAAACCGGGAGGAAAGAGCCGCTCCTTCCGAAAGGTTCGATTTCAACAAAGCGAAACGGACACATAAAAGTCACCCCCCTCCCCCCAAAAAACTGAACGACTATAATCAAAGGAAAATAACTTTACTACCAGCGTAATAATACTGGACCCGGCCGCGCACTGCAATCCAGTGGCGTTTGTCGCCATCTAGTGGCGACAGCGGAATGAACACTCCGCCTCCAGCTGCCTGATTCACAGATCCTCCAGGAGCTCAAACACTCCCGTCCGCCGAAAGGGCAACGTCGGCTCCCAGACCGCCTTCCCAGGAAGGGGCCGAGAGAGCCGCAATCCGGCGTGTTGCTTCCATGCGGACGGTGCTGCCCCCTCCTGGCGTTTGGCTGCAGCGTGCTGTGGGGCAGCAGGGCCAAGGGCTCTGGGCTCCGGCCCAGATGCGGAGTGGGACTCCCGCCACATGTCAAACACCGCTCGGTATAAACATGTGCTCTCCGGGTCATTGCAAAGGGCACTGTGTTCTGATCGGACCCTTCAACGCTGCAGAACAACGATGATGATGATGATGATGATGATGATGAAACTGCTCATCTGGGCCGAGTCCACGGCTGAACCGCCCGATTCTGAAGGTGCAGAGGACCGACTCGCAAAACGCCACACCGCACCGCAGCTCGCCCGAGCCGAGCTCCAGCCCCACAGCCTGATCCAGCCCAGCACACCCCCCCCCTCCATGACCTCAGAAGGCCTTTTAACTCATGGCACAGATACAAAAGTTTTTTTTAACCCCCTCGCCCCCCCCCCAATGAATTCGATCCCCCTTTTCCTGCCTTGGCCGACTGCCCTGAAGCATTCTGGTAAAAAACAGCAGCACCCCGCAGAGCAGGGGGGGCAGCACAGCTGACATCCAAAGTCTTCTGGCATCTGGAGGGACATCTGCTTCAGAACTGCGGACTCAGGCCACAGAGCGACCAGACAGCCTGAACCGGGCCAGGAGGCCGGGCTGACCGCAGTCCTGGCGCCGAGGGCGGGGGGCGGGCTCAGTTGTGGGACATGCACCGGAAGCGGTTCTTGAAGTACAGCAGGCCGTTCTTGGCGTTGGCCGCGTCGGAGGAGGAGGAGGGGTAGCGGAACCTGGTGTAGGCCCGGTCGCTCTCGGACTGGGCCCAGGGCAGCTTGATCTTGGAGGCGTGGTTGACCACGACGTCGTCGCAGGAGCCCACGTGCAGCGAGCCCAGCCCGTCCACAAAAAACTCTGCAGGGAGAGGAGGAGGAGGAGGAGGAGGGCAACAGTACAGACGTCAGCTCGTCGTGCTTTGACTCCTGCCTTCAAAATCACAGAATGGTGCTCTGGACGTTAAGTGCACTCGTCTAACTTTACAGACCTCGTAATGCTGCAACACCAAATGTGCCGTATGACCTAGAGCCGTTCATGCTTTGTTATTTGCAATCTTCTGGCAACATAGTACATTGACCTGAACTCCATCTATCTTCTAACGTCTGTATCCTGTTCAGAGTCATGGCGGAGCTGGAGTCTATCCCAGCAAGGAAGGGGCTCAAGGCAGGGTACAGCCTGGACAGGACACCAGCCCCTCACAGACACACACACTCACACCAGCGCCAGTTGTCCCAGAAGCCAAATTACCCTGCCAGCACGTCTTTGCACTGTGGGACAAAACCCATGCACACGCGGGGTGAACATGCAAACTCCACACAGACAGAGCCCCAGGAATCAAACTCAGGGCCCCAGTGCTGCAAGGCTGCAATGTTAACCAGTGCATTACCACAACTCTCTAGCTGCCCTGCACAAACACACGTGTAAATAATCATCATAAAATCAAACTAATAGTAGTAGTTCCAAGACATAACTGGAGACCGACAGGACTGTTCGGCTCGGGGACGGGGGAACACCAGTCTTCGAGTGTCACAGTGCCCTCTGGGCCTCCTGCCAACCATGATCGTAACGCTCCAGACTGACTGAGCCAATACTGCAGCTCAGCCCCAGGGAGAGAGCTGGGGAGAGAGCCGGAAGTGGGCCGGGCCAGATGGGAACAGGACTCACCTAGATGGGCCACCCTGGCCAGCCTGGGGTCGAAGCCCACCTGCTGCACCTTCTCGGTGCGCGCCAGGAAGAAGTTGATGACGCCGTCCGTCACCACGCAGTTGGGGAAGCCGGCGATGGTGTGGTGGAAGCCGCGGCGGGTGTGCAGGCAGTCGCCCTCCTCGCTGCCCGGCTCCAGGGAGATGGTCTGCCGGTAGGTGGCGGTGTAGCCGGTGACCTCCCGCACGGCGCCCCCTACCTGCCGACACACAGCAACGCGCCGTCAAGCGTACAGACCAATGACAAAGCAGGAAAACAACCCGTGCCCCGCTGCAGGAGAGCACTCCAGGATTCTCTCTCTCAGGCCCGGGGTTCTGCTACGCTCCCGGCTGTGCAACACCCCTCAATGCCAATGCCAAACCACTGAAGGGGCGATTCCACAGCGCGGGTACACGCTGCTCATGAACGTTCAAGTGTGGTTTTGTGTGGTTCTGCACAACGGTACCCCTTCCTGTGCCCATCGAGCTGTAAGGAGCGGCACATTGGCAGGGGGCAGTGAGCGCCATCACCCCAGAAGGTGGGTGGGTCCCCTTGAAATCACCACTATCTGGAAAGAGGGAGAGGGAAGGACGTGATGTCCATTAGACCCTTCTGGGAAATGTGTTCCCCTTCCCAGAGGACACTGGCTTGGTCTTTGTTTTAAAAAGGGAGGGAGCGCGTTTGTGCACAAACCCCTCAGTTCTTGTTGAGGGGTACACCATCGCCCCATTTCCTCCTCTCGGGGTAGCTCCTCCACAAGGCCCCACCAGCAGGCCTGGCTTCTGGCCCCGCTCTGTGAACCTCCCCTCCCCGAGCCGGGACTACAACGGCCCCCTTTCACCAGCGCCACCCGCCCACCGGGCTGCGTCCTGCTCTCAAGTTGCCCCCCACGCGGGCAAGAACAGAGCCTGGCATTATGGGCACAACTGGCAGGTCCTGCCAGTGTGTTGGCTCCTGGCTCCCTTCTCCTGCAGGCCCTTCCCTGGGGCAAAGGTCACGCCTCGGGGAAGAGGGACATGCAAGCTCGGTCATTTCCCGAAATACAGCAGCGAGAGAAATCCCAGACCTGGGAGGCAGTTACTCTGGGAAGCAGGCCAGGATGTTTTTAATAGCGCTGGATAACTGTTCTGGGAGCAGGGACGCACGGATATTAGGAAGCACCAATACGTGCTTAATGTTAAGTATATTAATAAAGAGCCATTCTTAGATTCTTTTAACTGTTTTATTAACTACAAAAATCACACCCTTACTCCATATATTCTCTCCTTCTGCTCTCTCATTCTTTGTCTCGCGATATCTACTCACTATACTACACTTAACATACTGTTCTGTATGTGCTGATACCCTTGTAAACAATGTCGGAGACAGAGATGTTCCCACAGTAACCCTTCTTGGGTATATAGTGCCTTTCCCGGCATGTCAACTCAGAGCCCTGTGGTTACGCGCTAGGTTTTTCTGGAGGGGGGACAAGAGCTCAGTTTCTGGGGTGCTAGCCTGATCTCCGGGACAGGGGATCCTCCTTGAACCCCTATCGCTGTCCTATGGAGAATGGGAGAAAGCTGTCTAGCATTCGAGACGTGAAATATGATGTCTCTAGTTTTGGCTTGTTGGATCTGGGGGTTTGGGGGTTTGGAGGTACTGGGGTCTGAATATGAACTCCAGTGGGACTGCACCTCCTTACCCAGCTCATCTGTAGCACCCTTCTCTCATCCAGCGAGTTAACTGGGGAGCTATGGGAAGTAGGAGATGACAAGAAACCAGGGAACTAGGATTAGTTCTGGAAAAGAGACCCAGGGCCTGTAGTTTTAGCTATGATTTAGGGGCCTCGCAGAAATCGGAGAACTACACTTTCTGGGAGACCCTCGGGGAACCCCGGACAGCCAGAAGATTAAGAGGGAGAGCTGATCCCATCTTGGTGGCCGATTGGCACACTGACCGCCCCCCAACAGCAAGTTCTCAACACATCCATCATCCTGGAAGCCCTGTAGGTCTGAACCCCTCTTGGCACAGGCTGTGTGACTGGGATCCATACACACGCTCGTTCTCAAAGTGCCCTGAACCCTGGTTCACCATGCAGGTGAATTCAGCTCGGCAATGGGGCTTCAGTGCTTGTGTCCGTGATCATTCTGAATCAGCTCAGTGTCCCATAAACTTAAAGCTATCACTGCTCAGCATCAATTAACAAACGTAGCGATCTCGGGGTTCACGTGGGTATTGCTGACTCAGGTCGGCCCCCCCACCGTCAGGGACTCAAACCTGGGCCTCCGGCATCACTCAACAGGGACCCAGCCTCTTGAGCCAAAGGGAAATCTCCCCTCAGCCCTGCGGCTGCGGTCCCTGCTATTCACAGGGAAGGGCGGTGACGTCACCGCGCTGGTAAGCCAGCTCTCACAACCAATGGTGGCCGTATGCGTTACAATATTAAAGCTAATAATGAGCCGCTCTGCTGCAGAAAGAGTGTCAGTACTTCTGTCTGCAGATGAGCTTTCATTGCGGTGTTTTTCTGCCTATTCAATCAATGTGCACCCGAGCGCCGCAGCTGGTAAACACTGGAGTGGATCAAACTGCTATGCCAGGGGAGTCGGCATCACACCACTGTAGAACCCAGAGTGGACCAGACTGCCGTTCCTGGAGTGCGGACAGTTTTGTGGGAAAGAGCCACAGCAGACGAACGCCCTTGTCTGTTCCCAGCACGCCTGATCTCTGAGCTGCGGCTGGCATGGCGACAGGCCAGGTCATCCGGTCACAGACTCGCTCACCAGGTCCAGTGTGGTCCTCTCCAGCACATCCACCAGCTTCTCCAGCCTGGTGCTGGCCGTGAAGATAAAGTCATCGTCCACCCACAGCACATACTTGGTGGTCACCTGGGAGACGGCCAGGTTCCGCCCTGCAAACCAGCCCTGAGGAAACGAGAGAGCAAGAGCCGATAGTTCCTTTGACAGTTAGCCAAAAAAAAAAACAGTTTACTTTAATAACTTCTTTTCCTTTACAATCCTTCGTCTAGGCCATCTGCTTTGCTTTCATAATCCCAAAGAGCAAAGAAATAGTTTGGATTTACTGGAGAACTGAGAGCGCTCTCAGTGCGAAAAGACTGTATAAGATGGGAAACTGATGCAAAAGGAGCTGCTTGTGAAAAACAACTAATATGGTCACATTGACAATGAGGAAGCAATGTAAAAGGCAATCAAAATATTAGGATATACACTTTTAACTATATTATTTAGGGGTGTTACATTACTATAATTACTAAATGAGGTCTTATTTACCACAATTATGTACACTTCTGGTCACAGTATTATAGGAAACATATTACTGCTCTGGAATCAGATAGAGCAGGCAGATACATTGCAGGCAGATACATTGAATGTCCTCCACTGACAGGCTGAAGGAACTGAGTCTATTTAGTCTGAAGGGAGTGTCCCGCATTGACAGGCTGAAGGAACTGAGTCTCTTTAGTCTCAGTGGAGTGTCCTACACTGACAGTCTGAAGGAACTGAGTCTGATTCTGAACAGAGTCTCCTGTTTGGCTCCAGACTCTGCTACTGAGGAGGTGAAGAGTATGGACCTGCTGGCTGCCCTGCCCACACCCCCCCACAACCAGAATGAGGACATCAGATTAGCCACCTGAGCCGAGCCCACTCCTCTGCAGACAGGGCGGCACAAACCACATTCCTTCCTCTCCAGAGAGAAGTTAAACTACCAAGCGCTTCTGTTTCATTGAAAGCAGATTAAAATAAGCAGCGGAACCTCTTTAGATATGAAACTACATCAAAAGGAACCACGGGGGGGGGGGGGGGAGGGCAAACACTAGGGGGCGCTGTGTCTGATTGACTGCACCAGCGGCCAGCCGTGAAGCCCACAGTCCACCCTGCTGTCCTCCAGGTCGCTCACCTTGCCGAAGGGCATGATGTAGTGCTCGACGTAGGGCCCGCGCACGGGCTGCGGCTGCTCGCTGTCGTCGGCCACCACGATGGTGACGGTGGGGTAGAATCGGCGTACGCTGTCGATCAGGGTCTGCAGCTTGTCGTAGCGCAGGAAGGTCTTGGTCGCGATGGTCACCAGCGCGCTGATGTTGTACTCTGGAAGCAAGGGGGGTGGAGACGGTGGGTCTCCGGACGACGCTTGACGGGAGACCCCCTGACGAGCCGAGAGCAGGGGGCTCCGGCGCTTCGCCGCGCTCAGCATTCATCAACCCTTACCCAAGCCAAGACCTGCACTTGACGAAGGTGCCTGGCCTGTTTCAGTCAACTGCACTGGGAACAGAAAGCAGGCCGAGGAGGAATGACACCACCGTCCAACACTAGAGGGCATGCTGGCCATGGTGCGCCCTGGAGCGCCCTCCGGTGGTGCACGCTCGAACTGCACCCTCAGTAGCCCAGACCAATCCCGGAGGTTACTGGACACTGTTACTGGACACCTCCTGTGCCGCGCTACACTGCTCCCATAACTGCAACGTCAACTACGACCCAGGATCACTTCGAATCGCCTCGGCTGGAAACGAAATGAATAATTGGGACTTCTGGCCGCCAAGCCCAGCCCCTCCTTTCTGCTGTTCAGGCTCCTGTGAGCAGCAAGGGGGGTCCCCCCTGTCACTTTCAAAGGTGTCAGCCTCTCAGCTGCTACTGAGAGAGGCTGCAGCTGTATCACCTTGGCCTCCTGCACAACCTAAGGCAGGGGGAAGACCGCAGCCCTGGTCTTGGAGAGACGCACACTGACTCAATTAAGAGCTCAATTAAGAGAAAATCCAAACCCCTGTGGGTCCCTACAAGCAGGAACAGAACCGCTGGACTAGACTGTCATCCCTCCGCATCTCCTGCAGGAAGTGCTAGAATCTGCTCTCTCGCAACAGCACATGGCGGTCTTATTGTAGTCCACTGTGGGAAACTAGTGACACCATTTCAAAACTGTTTCAGGCTGTAGCACTCAACTGTTAATTTAAGGATATTAAGTGCGATTCAAACGAGCTGACAATCACAGGCTTGTTAATGGTACTTAAGTACAGTAAACTCAAGGCACATCTTGGGCACAAAGTTGGGAATTTCTCAAATCTGGGGGCATACCTCCTTTGGGGCCTGGGTTGTAGAGCTTGGGGGTGACCCCATGTCGGACCTTGATGGTGAACAGGGCCAGGTGACCGTCCGTCTCGAGCTGCACTGAAAGATACAGGAGAGAGGAACAGCGGCACTCATGACCAATCCTGACATCCGCTGGAGTCCCAGGGGGTGGGGACAGGGCGGGGCCACAAGGACAGTGATGTCTCTGCCCACCCCAACGACAGAAGCACAGAAACCTTTTAATTCCCAAATCAGCTGCATGCAGCTACATCATGCGGGGGTCAAAACGGGTGCCCAGGGGCTGGAACTGAACTGGGAACAAAAGAGGTTTTATTCTGAACAAGAAAAACAAAGGACGGCTCTTTTTGAGGCAGCTGAAGTTGTTGGAGAGCACAGTGTGGGCCTTTTAAAGAAACCCAACAACTGCAAAATGAATGGGGATAAAAAACAAACACATCAAGGAACAAAGCTAACAAAAAACTGTAGAGGATCAGCCAGCTCATTTGGCTGCAATTAGTTAATTGATCTCAGGATCCCACCCACTCATTCCACGAGGGATGCCTGGAATCTTGACTTTATGACACTATGGTGTTCAGTCAGCTCATCAACCCATCGCACCCCAACCCTCCCCCAACTCCCCCCAAACCCATCGCACCCCAACCCTCCCCCAACTCCCCCCAAACCCATCGCACCCCAA